GGAAATGTTATTTGAACGTGGACAATTGCATGATCGCTAATGAAGTCGAGAACATTTGTGGCGCTTACCTATTTGGGTTGCTCGAATATTCGAAATTTCAAATTGTAGTTCCGAATAATACACTATTCGATATTACCTTCGAGAAGAACTGCACTATTCGCGTTTGTTTAAGTGTTGATTGTGGTGGGTTAGCCCCATTGAGTGTGCTTCTTACCAAGCAGCGGTGTGCTGCGGAGAAGCAATACCCGCGTAAGCGAGCTCCGCGGGTGTTGCTACTCCACAGCGCACCAGTGCTTGGTAAGAAGCACACTCAATGCGGTAACCCGCCACGATAAACATTTGAAAAAGTAAGAATATTGTAATTGCGTGCTTGGAAGTAAAGCATACATTCAAAACAGGATGGTGCGCCTTGTGGGGTTCTTTACGAAAATCCCTCCACAAATAATCGCCGCCCGATCAGTATGCGCTCCACCCGTCACCCAGGGAGTGACATAACACAACGAGAAGACAGCAAATGGGTTTACTGTACCTCTCGGTTGCCCATCGTCGAGAACCGGCAGTTCAGGCCCGCCGACCCTTGTTGTCGCCCGTCGATCAGAGCTCACAGTCGAAGCCCGTTTCCAGGCCTGCGGATCGCCTTTCCCACGTTAGCGCTGCGTAGGCTGGCTATCCCGGGCTATCAATGCCCGAGTCTCGCTGCGGAATCACCCCGGGATCATCATAGCCCAGGTCATATGGCCAGGGCTTGCCGTTTTTACCGGTCTTGCTCCAGACCTCGCTGGTGGACCGCTCCAGGGTTCGCCATGGGCCAGGCCAGACAGCTTGGCCCCCGACGTTCTTGTTCAGCTTCAGCCTCGCTCAGCACGCACTGTCTCGCGCCAGCTCGTGTCTTCTCCGCCGACCGCCTGTCACGTACCGTCTGCCTCATCTTTCACCCTCGGCTCCCACACTCTCCCCCCCTCAAGGCCCGGACTTCGGGGGACTTCATGGGCCTCAGGGAGCCACTGGGCTTCATGGGCGGCCGCTATTGTCGGAGTGGCCACGATGCAGCGTCCGAAAGCGGCGTAGGTGGTGGTGGCTAGCGAAGCCGTCAGACAATGACGACCTGTCTGTCGCTCGCTGTCCCACTCACCGCGATGCAGCAGGGGGCTTGCTCGAAGCTGGTCCGGCCGACGCAGACAGACCTGCCCCGTTCCGCTTAGAGGTCACAGCGGGCTTAAAACTGCCTGCCTGAATTGTTCATCAGGCCGAAAAACTGTCAGCCACCCTGAGCACTTGGGAAAACGAATGGACCCGTCTTCCCTCCCGGTGGGCTTCCTGGGTTACGCCGTCTATGGCCGTCTTTCCAAGAAGCTATTCTGTGCAGAACAAAGTGTTAAAACAATTCACAACGAACAAGTATTCTGCTGCGGACTGTGGCAGTGGCCATAGCCTCTACCGCCAAATAGCTTGCCGACGGGTTCGTATACCATGCGGCTAACTCAGCAGGTCCGCATTCCGGAACTCACTCCTGGGTCGCCAAGAACAGGAAATTTCTTGTGTCCTACCGTAACCTCATGTTATACGTCTTCCCAAATGCGACGACGGTAGTATATCCTTTCAAGCCAGCGATGTGAGCCGGGCAAGCCTCCTCGTTTGTATCTCGCCGAGTAAGCCTAGAAGTAAGACACGACGCTCGCGTCTTTATACCTCGGGTGCCCTTCTCACCTCGGAGCAAGCGATGCGGCAAAACCACTAGCTGCATTGCCCAACGCGCGAGTTTCCTTCAGAACAGTTAACGATGGACTAAACCTAGTCCATCTTTTGCGTAAGCGAAAGGATCCAAAGCTTGTGGCGGGATGGCCATATGCTATACCCGCGTACCGCAACGGCTACATATACCATGTGCTACCCAACGTCAGCGTCCCGTTCCGTCTACGTGCGTACGAGATCTAGGGACCAATCGGTCCTCGGAGGGGGCGGCAGCCCAGCGAGTAAGCACGCTTAAACCGTTCACGCGTCAAGGCAAACTGGACAGCTGCAAGCCACCTAAATGTCTACCACCTCATCCCCCGCCAGGTCGTGACGCGACATAACTTATTAAAAGTCTTGCTGTCACTGCCACGACCGGCCAGAGTGAAGTCGAGAAAGAACCATATAGAACATTTCTTAGCTTTCTTGGAACGACCCCCCTCAAGAGAGAGTCGTCCCTCTGCCCTTCGCCTGCCAGCGTTCCCAATGTCAACCGCAATTTCCGCTAGTTTATCCGACACCCGCTGACAATCTCGTCCGCCAGTGTTCCCGGTGTCAACTGCTATTCCCGCAGTCTTTCCGACACCCACTGATAAAAACCCATCTGCACCCCGGGCCTCGACAAGCGCTTGCTTGCCTACCGCATCACCCCAAGCCTAAATCCTAAATCTGCAATGAGTCCTGGCTGTTTCCCTCCTGCTAGTTGTTATCCTGCCTTCCAGCGAACATGCCGTGCCTCTTTTCTGCCTCCGAAGTCAACTTTCTTACATCTTAATTGCGCTCCTCGCCTCCTGCCAACCACTATTCTGGGGTACCCGAGAAGGGTGTATCTCAAAACGTCCCATTCGCATTTGAACCTTGCACATTTCGACCCATTCTCATTTGGTCCTTTCTCGTTTGAACCTTCTCATAAGATCCGAATCGTGTTTTTCGCAACTGGTCCCATTCTCATTTCGCCCGTTCGCGCTACGACCGAATGGCACTAGCTCGGCATGCTTTTAACGTCTTTATGCTTTCGCGGCTTTGTTGATGAGTCTTACCTTGCTTGAGCCCACAACATACCATCAGATATATGTTATGTGTAGAGGTACGCACTGAGAATCGTACATTGACGCCTGCTTCCCTTCCTCTAAGCATACGAGAAAAAAAAGCGATGAACAATTAATTTGGAAACTTTGAACAAAAATAGCATACATTACGGCAGTGGTTCTCAACCATTGATGTTTCGCAGACGCCTTGTAGAAAGGCGGAGATGATGGAGGACCCCGTTCGGGGTGAGGGGAATAGAAAGGTATAGGTTATCATGATAATTATTTAATAAATAAATATAACTAATTGCTAGTGTAAAGTAGATTGATCTCATTGACATACATACGAGAGTACTCTCCCGAAAACTGGAACGTTTCTTCTGAAGGTGAAGAAAGACAACTAATATTGCCGTGCCTGATCTGACAAGACAGGGCCTCGCGGACCCCTAGGATGTCTTCGCATGGTGGTGCACGAATGCACCCGATGTCAAAAGCCCAGTGTCCAATACCCCGCGGCAAAAACCCCGTCCTTTTTACCCCGCTTTCAAAAGCCCCAGTTTCAGAAGCCCATGATGCGAATCCCCCGTGTCAGGTGGCCAGGTCCTCAACTTGACGGCTGATCATTCTGCTTTTAACTAAAAGAAAATGTGTAGTCCAGCTTGTGTAACGTAATCATGAGGTACCCGGGACTTAAGTAATGAATAACTGGATAAAGCTTCCGTACTTCAGGCGTGCACTAAACACATTCACGTCTTGCGACGTTAGAAGTGAAAATACGAAGACAATATCATTCACTGGCAAAACATTTGATGTTACAGCTATTATCAATAAGCATTTAACCGAAGCTTTCGTTGACTCTGAAGCACGCGCGGATTCACAATTCCGACGAAGTGGGTTCTGTCAAAGCTGTTAAACCGCAGATCATGGCGCCATATTTATCGCAGCAAAAGTATTTGTACTCGTCTAGCTAGATAAACTTTATAACTTTGCGTCTGAGTATCCTTCTATGATAGCGGAGTGCATTGCTGGTGATGCAGATTTATGCAGTTGGCCACTTGTACATCTTTCTAAGTGTTTCGGCGATTGAAGTTAACCTTATTTTGTTTTTTCTTTCAATTGCATGACCCTTAGTAGGCGCATGGAACAATGCAGGTTGAAGCGCAAAGAGGGTGGGAGGGGCAGTGAGGACGGGGCTTTTGGCACGCGAAGAATACGGGACGGGGTAATTGAACGCGGGTTTTTTCGAAATGTGGGGCTAATGAAGCGGGGCTTTTGCGACAGGGATTCTGTACACGGGGCAATCGTGCTACACCCGTCTTCGCAGACCCCCTTTTGAGAACCACTGCATTGCAGAAGTAGCGGCATAGTCCCAAGTCGAGAGACCTCAAACGACGTGACATTTCGGAATATGATCTGGCTGCGATAAATAGTTTGTCTGTTTTACTGTCAACTAGTAGCTTTTCACGACGACCCCGACGCACTGCTAAAATCCTTAGCAGAGAGAGTATGCCTGTAGTGCGGCACACAGACACGCACAAAATATGTCGATGTATTTATTAATATTACCCTAAAAAACGATTGTGGTATAGAAAGAATCAAGTGCGACGGGTCAAAGCGAGATATTTTTGAGAATGGCTGTTTTTGAAAAGGGCCAGGTGAAAAGGGCGAAACGAGAACGGGCCCAAATGACGAGGGTTGGAATGCGAAAGAGAGAAGATCTTTTTGAGAATGGTTGTTTTGAGAAGGGCCAAGTGAGAAGGTCGAAACAAGAACGGGCTCAAATGATAACCACCTACCCGAGAAAGCGCGTCCGCAAACTCGTCCTTCGAGCCCTTTAGGTACTCAATTAGAGGAGACACCTGCTAAGCTCTGCTGTGAGACAAGTCTCCCAAATTCCAACATACTTTGTCTCAATGGGCATCGTTAGCGTTAGTGAACAACCCGCTCAACGAATCCGTCGGACTCCCTGGGGATGACTAGAAACAGAGGCATACCGAACGGGCCCCACGTTGGATGCGCCATTTTAATGTGAGGTTCTTTACGGAGATCCCTCTACTAATAATCGCTGCCCGATCGGTATGCGCTCCGCCCGTCACCCAGGGAGTGACATAACACAACGAGAAGACAGCGAATTGGTTTACTGTACCTCTCGGTTGCCCGTCGTCGAGAACCGACAGTCCAGGCCCGCCGACCCTTGTTGTTGCCCATCAATCAGAGCTCACAGTCGAAGTCCGTGTCCAGGCCTGCGGATCGTCTTTCCCACGCCAGCATGCGTAGGCTGGCTGTCCCAGGCTATCAATGCCCGAGTCTCGTTGCAGAACTACCCCGTGATTGTCATAGCCCAGGTCATATGGCCAGGGCTCGCCGTTTCCACCGGTCTTGCTCCAGACCTCGATGGTGGACCGCTCCGGGGTTCGCCATGGGCCAGGCCAGGCAGCTTGGCTCCGACGTTCTTGTTCGGCTTTAGCCTCGCACAGCACGCACTGTCTTGCACCAGCTCGTGTCGTCTCCGCCGACCGCCTGTCACGTGCCGTCTGCCTCATCTTTCACCCTCGGCTCCCACAACCTGTGCCGACTGTATCGGAAAATAAAGGAAAACCTTGTGAATGTGTATATCTGCATTGTAGTAAAAGTTTCAAAATTATACTGTTATGCAAGAGTATACTATGTTAGGCAGAGATGCCCTTACAACCTGCATTCATTATGCATCATTCATTTTTTTTTACTAGAGATTAAAGAAAGAATATTTTATATAGCAAGATTTGTAAATTAACTCCATCAATTAATAACCTACCATAACCCAGTTGGCCATCTCTACAGTATTCATTTAATGTCAAATTCACTGTTTAATTGCCATCGACACCAGACCTTCTGAGGTCAAAGTTCATAAATATAGATAGATTAAACTTAGTTTATAAATGAACAAGTGGAACAACCTTCACAAGTTTCCGTCTAAGTATTATGCAATGGTAGTGAAAGGCGTGGAAAAACTACTCGATATTCAAATTGAAAATATTCGGTCAAAACCTCTATTCGCTTCGAATTCGCTTCGAACCCAAAATCCAATATTCGCACAGGACTAGTTCCTAATGGTAACAATGAATAGATCTAAAATTGCGTCACCGCGGGTAGGGGAGTTTACAACTTGGTGCAATCCGAAACAGCCTACCAAGGCAAGAAAATCATTGCACTGAGCAATATTTGAACACTACATGGACGGGCTGAGAGTCACCCAGTTGAATCCAGGGCAATTAAAATCCCCTTCTGATATTAAATCATTGTTTGGGTAGAATTCTGTTAAGTGCCCCAAAGAACTATACATGGCTTCATGAAAGTCACTTATATTTGACTTTGGCAGCCAATGACAAGCACCAATGAATAACCTACGATAACCCAGCTGAAGACGTACCCACAGGGTTTCGAGCAAGGAGTCGGAAGATATTAGTGAACATTTTAGATTGCACTTTAGAGCAATAAGTACACAGCCACCCCTTGCGCTAAAGCTATCTTTTCGGTATACATTGTACTCTTTGCTCAATGTCAGGTACTTACCGTCTACGCATGATGTAAATTAGGTTTCAGTTGCTATGATAATGTCCATTTCGCAAGAGGTGGTGATGCTTTCAAATTCTACCTCTTAAGAGGCTACTAAAATTTACTACAAAAAAAGACAGTGTTGAACAGAAGATTTGTGCACATTCGGGGGTTGTCAGTCAACTGCACGGGGAACTTCAAGTGGCCTTTAAATTGAAATGACAGTTTCAGCAACACTGTCATATATTTCACTGCCGACATGCAATTTATCAAATGACAGCTTGTATCAGACATGGTGCTCCCTAAACCGAGCGGCAAACTCCAACAGTTTCTTTCACCCGAAACGCACTTTTGGAGAGAAGTCCTCCGAAATGCACACCCTGGGTGATACATTCTTTAATTTTGAATCAGAGTACATTATCTTTGTTTTCGAAACTGAGTAATGTGACAATAATGGGACGGTTCGAACCGACACGTTTTGGCCCAAGACAATGCGCTCTTTCAATTTCGCCAACGTTTGGCATGAGATTATCCTTGATGAAATTATATAACAGTTGTTCGTTGTCATTCCAGGTCTCATTTTCGCATTGTGGCAAACCGCCAAAGATGAGATTGTTTCTGCACATCTGGCCATTCATGTTGTTCAAAGTGTCCCTAAATACAGAGACACTCGCAGACACTCCACTCAACAAGATGAAGCGTTGCGGTTACACAAGCCAAACTTTTTTTATTTGCCCCATTTGAGTAACTCTGGCCTCTAAACTAGCACACGTCTGGCCAGGTGGGCTCTGCCCTTGTTAATTTTGTTTAGCTTGCCCATACTTTCCCTCTGGTTTTGGTTTCTGGCTGCTAATGGGCTATCAATAGCTTCTTGCAGTTTGTCTATTTTCTCACTGTTCTTAATCTCGGGGCCGGGGATGAGCTCAATGTCGCCGGCCGACCCTAGTAACAGGACCAGAAGAGCAAAGAGTTGGACATGGTTGAACATTCCAGGAGATATTAAACTGCTTCGGCAGGAAGAGACGAGACTTTCTTTTTGAGCACATTGTAAACCTTCCGATACGAATTTGGTAGGTTGCAATGTCAACACACATTGGTACACACTGGTGGGATTTGCAGCAGGGTTGGGCAGAAATACTCAAAAAATGTAATTGGAAATACAAATACTGGGATACATTAAAATAGTAGCTAAAATACTGATACTGAAAAATATCTGTAAAAGGGTGTCGCAATACATATCGGAATTACATTTTAGAGGCAAGAAGTATTTGGAAATATAAATACAGGAATGCATTTAAGGGAAGGCAGAAATACAAATACAGAAATACTGATACTGCAATTCATTTTTCAAATTTGTTTGAGACGCCAAATGAGATGAAGCTTGAAGTTGGAAGTGTAAGTTTTCGATCCTGAAATTACTTTCCCGTAGGCTTGGCACTTTGCTTCAAAGGTAGTGATTTCGGACGATGAGGAGTCTTCAGTGGGCTCAAAAAAACGTTCCATCAAGGATTGACCGTGGTCCCTTCCCTGACATCCTGTCTGTCTGACGAGGGATGCGAAAAAACTGACCTCTAAATAAATTCTATGTCATACTAAATCGCATCAAAACGTCACCAGGCCGTGCCCAATAAGGACGCCCCTGTCAACATTTATCACATGACGTCACCGTGAAATTAACTGGTATTCTCAATCTGTAGGTGTGGCCTTGAACATGAAACTTTACCACGCTGCTGTATGAAAGGACAATACTACATACTTTCGTTGTAGGTTACCTCGTGGAAGATTGTGCAGGCAGTGTCATCTGGAATTTTAGAAAATAGTGAACCACCTGAAGCATCCTAAAACACGTATGTCTTCTCTTCTGTTAAGATTGAAAAACCGATTGATACGGTGGCATCCCTTTTGTGAAGGTCCTTCCTGCCGACCCTCCGCCACCAACGCATGGACTCCAGTCCTCAAGTTTTGCCTTGCATACTCCAAATAGAAACCTCGTGGATTGCGGCCTGAGATGGCCGGCACAGGTGCGAGCTCTCTGAGAAACAGCGCGCTTGAGACGAGTCGCAGGTGTACAAAGTCTGGGTCGGAACAGCGAGGGGCCACGTCTGGCCTCCTTCCTGGGTTTCGGATCACCAGAGCAGCATGTCACGTTCATGTCGGCTGATGACGTACTCTTGAGCCGCCCAATATTAGGGGCACCACCGCAGACACATTCGAATATAACTTCACAGCGTGAGTCTTCCTACTATTTCAAGTCAACCACCGCCAGGCTCGTGCTGCAGCGGACTGTGACTCAGCTTTGCCGGCTGGGAGGACTGTGTACGCTAAGGCAAGAGAGACAGTTAAAAGCAGGCTTTGGATGCCCAGCAAACAATGACTGAATTAACCCCCACCTAAGGACTTGCGGCCCAAGATGCTCCGGCTCCACTCCTGGAACGCCACCTGGTTCGAGTCCCCAACTACGCAATGCTTCTCAGAAGAGAGGACACATACAGAAATAGTTTGGAGAATCGGAAGGAATTTTGGTCACTACCATGACAACAATGCCCCAGCGTCTCCTTGACCCTGGTGCCCTCAGAAGTAAAAAAAAAAGAATGTGTTTCAATCTGTATTTGTTTTGTTTTTTTGAGGGGCGGGGGGGAGTATTTCTGAACAAATGTAACGAAATACATTTCATCCTGATTGTATCGCGATACAAAGGAAAATTCAAAATGTATTTCGATACAGGAATACAAATACTGGTGAAAAACATGTATCGCAATACAGAAATACAGATACCAAATGAATTTCTAAAATACTATTGTATCGCGATACTGCCTAACCCTGGACACAACGCAACATTTCCACTCGCAAAATGTTGTGCCCGTGAAATATTTCTCAAAACATGTTATGCCCAACCCTCATTTGCAGCCAAACGGAAACTTAAAATGTATTACAAATACTGAAGTGTACGCACCTGCGAGAGATTATTAATACGGTTGGTGCTCTGGCACACTTGGCTGCAAATCCCGAGGCGATGCTTGTGCCAATCTGTTTTGTAGTCCTGTGATGTGGTCACGTGTTGATGACGTGTTGACCAGATCTCCTGACGATGATGGCCACTGGCGCTCTGCACTGGAGTGGTGATTCTTGAAATCACAAAGTGTGTGACGGGCAGAACGCTGTCTAGAGGATACAGCACTTTCCACACAAGAGTAGCCGGGGTGCCTGCGAGAGATTATTGACACGTTTAGTGCTCTGGCATACTTGGCTGCAAATCCCCTTTATTTTAGGATAGCAATGCTTGTAAAACGAAAAAAAACTTATATAGAGGTGTTGATGTATAAATCAACTTTTCAGCCGAAATGGCTCAATATATAGAAATGCCACTTTACACAAGGGTATGACTTATAGTCTGGAAAATATTGTATATCAAAACATATGACAAGGAAATTTGTTTCCCTTTGCTATTTTCTAGCCTTGTTATTGGTTTTGCACGCAAAAAGGACAACTTTATTTACAGGTAGTGTAATACCCCTGTCAGACGGGCTAGTTTAGTGTCACTACAAGCGAGTGCACTTCGCACTTAGTGTCATTTCTGTAGTTTGCCACACGGCTCCTTCCTGAGGAACAGACTTGGCTTGGAGTGAGTTTGACGAACTCACATCGCTCGATCGAGCGCGTGGAATCAGTAGGAGTGTTTCAACAGTAAAACATAACAACACAGAAACCAAAAGCGTTGCGCAAGTTTTATTTTATAAAGAAAAAGAAATTCGTGAAAGAGACGACATGTAGAAGAGTGGCATTGCAAAAAAAAGTAGTGGGGTGGACTTGGAGTTTAGCCTTACCTGAATCAAGATTAGCGCAGTGGTGAATTGATAAAAGACGACGACAAAGTCAGTCATTCATGGCTATCTTGGTTAGCAGAGAATGATAGAGCCTACTTTTTTTGCAGCATGTGACTACTTGAGACAACACAATAATTATGATCTGATTAGGCAGTGCAGGGCCTCCTCATAAAGTTCCGTGGAACGAAGCGGAACGCCAAAGTTGGATATGCTTCGTTCTTTATCTCAATTAATCTAACTTAGTTTCAGAGCACAGCTCCTAGGCACCCGCTTCTGAGTTGAGCTGCGTCGGCGTAATCGCGCGTTGAAGCAGTTGCACTAAGGGCAGTTTCCCAAAATGACGTCACACGTGACGTCATGTGTTACGTCACGAGGGTAAAATTTTCCCGCTAAATTTTGCGGTAAAAGTTTTTGCTAAGTTTGGCGGAAAGTTGTTCCGCTAAATTTACAAGAAAAATTTTACCCGTGTGACGTCACATGACGTCACAGTTAAAATTTCAGATGACGTGTCATGTGACGTCACACGTCAATTCAGCGGTAAAATTTCCCGGCTAAATTTAGCGGGAAATTTAGCGAAAGTTTTACGCTGAGTGAGATGGGAACAGGAGAGGAGGATGGGAGGGTACGGAGGGGGAGCAGCTGGCATACCCTCCCCTTCGTACCCTTCTTCCCTCCTCCTCAAGAGCTGCGCTCCAATTCGGCATTACAGTGAATTGTAAACGTCTAATTTTTTTAACGTGTCTTTATTAAGGGGTATCGGTGGCCGAGTGGGCTAGCGCCCACCAGGTGGGAGTACGTGGAGAGAAAGCTCGCGCTGGAGAACCCAGTGATCCTGAACTCAATCCCCAGCCCTGCCCGAAGAACACACTTCCAACGAAGTGAGTTCGGGGAGCACACTACGCTCGCTTCGGTAGACCAAGTGTGTAATCTCGATAGCACTGTTCAAGGAGTAGAAAGAATAGAAGGAATTAACGCTGCGTAAATTTAGTATTATTTGGATAGGAGTAATATTAGATGCGCACTTGTTTTCTGTTTGCAAGATAGTAGTGCATTGTAGAAAAACAAGCGGCGAATCTAGTTTCCAGCCTCGGCCCCAGCGCGACGGCCAGCGACGGCCGGGAGGCACCTGCAAGACTCCACCAGGAATCTGAAGGTGGCAGGAGAGACGCGATAGGCTTGCTTGAAATGGAACTCGCCCAAATGGCGCAAGGTGTCTTCGAACCACCGCTCGTTCCTCTGGAAAGTCCACCGTTCTCGAGTGATCACGGGTAGGTTGTCGGTCACGAGAGCGGCTATGGTGAAGGCATTGGCCTGCAGCTGCTGATCGATGTCACTTGAAATTCTTGCCTGTCCGTCGGCATCCAGGTCCAGCTGCCTCTCATCTGAAAGGCGTTGGGCTCTCACGAAGAAACGTGCCCCAACCACGCGCTTCCACTGTCCGACATCGCGGATATCACGCTCCAGCTCGTCCTCCACACACTCCAAGATGTTTCGTTATGGCGAGTGGCGAGTGGCCAGTGGGCTCACCCACACCAGCTTGGAGCACGCGGAACGAAAGCTCGCGCTGCAGAACCCAGGAATGCTGGGTTCAATCCCTACCTTCTGCTCGTTTTGATCTATGATCCGTTTCACCTTATGTTGTACCACAAACAAGGATAGAAGCGCGAGCTCATAGCGTTGGGAGCTACTCTTAACGCACAAGAGCTTGTGCCGCCAAGATGGGCCCTACAGCAAGGAGCTTGCGCTTGTAACCTTTCCTGCGGTACATCATAAGGTGAAACAGAGTATAGATGAGCATTGTACCGGTGTGCGGACGTGTATCACTGGCTTTTAATGGCTGATCGTAATGATTAAATTGGATTCGAATTTGGATTAAAGCTCGTGACTTAGCGCAACATTGTGTGGTAACGTGTTTCTAATAAGATGGCGAGGTTATTTATGAAAAAAATGCGCATGCACTGTAATATTTTGCGTGCCCATTACTTACCCATCGCAATTGCCATCATTTTGGAGTGACACTAAGTTTTCCCGTGTGGCACCAACACACTTGGAGTGTGTTTAGATGGGTTGAAGTGCACTCGCTTGTAGTGACACTAAACTAGCCCGTCTGACAGGGGTATAAGAGTTCTTTCGCCTCCCTCCATTTCATCTCCCTTGGTGAGGTGTCCCATAGCCGTCACTCTATGGAATGCCTCAAATTTTTGTTTCTTTCTCTTGAACCTCTCAGGGAGCACATCTCTAGAAGAAGAAGAGGCACTGGTACAATACACACAAAATCATAAATAACCTAAAAATTGTTGTCAAACAGAAAATCTTCCAGGAATTCTTTTATCTATTCAGATTTACTTCTACAAGACAGGGCCGCCAGTTTCCATGATTTTTTTATCATAAATATTTGAAAAATGTTCTTATCATTGAACTGCTGTAATATATTATTCACCAGGTACATGTTTCTTCGGTTTCTATTTGCTTTTCAGCTATCGACAAATCGAAAAAAAGGCTTTCTTTGGTTTAGGTGTACAAAACAAAATTTTCCATTAAAATTTTTTTGCTCGAGCTCTATGGGAAGCACATGTGTCTTCCTTTATTTTACCAGTTTATTAAACCTAAATAGTTTGCTAGTTTTATCTTAGTTCAAGCTAGGACTGAATCCTGCATACCCACCCCAGAATATGTATCGTAATTTTATTTATTTACCCCATTCATTATCCTGGGTCCATGCCTACCTTTAGCTTTTTTTTTTTTTGAGCAAGAAATATGCGTACATTTTTTTACATTTTATTATGTGATTCAGTTTAATTTGCGTAATAAATAAAAATCATTAATTTTTACAATTTCTCCCACACATCTTTTTTTTGTCTAGCTGTATGGTGCAAGAGACATTCGAGGTTCTTTTGTGGAGTGAGTTGATAAACTGGTTTTATAAATACACCATAACCACTGTTCGATTACGTAATATCAAAGCGACCAGGAAAGGAATGTAGCGGGTGAGTCTTCCCACGTACGGTTGCCGAAAAAGGCTCGACAAACCAGGTTGTCATTATGAGATGAGGTCACAGAAGTGGTGCACGTACATTCGTTCCTAACTGGCATCTGTTCCCACGCTCGGAGAATAGACATGTGAAACCCCAGCTCCACCCAGGGACTCCGGCCTCAGTCCAAGGGCAGAAGGCAGAGCGAAGTCTGCAAGGACGTGCCTTGTTGCATTGGGCAAACGGGACCCACTAAACCTGGTTGGCCTTCCCGACTGGGCTGGATCCAAGGGACCTGACCCAATTCATCCACTAAAGTATCGCACCATGTTAAAAACAAATGTTGCATAAGAATCGCTCCTAGGCTGAAAGTCATCTCATAGTCTAGTTTTAGCGTGTCCAAACACCCTAAAAGCTGTTCAAACAGGACGCTGCAGAGGTCACGTCAAATGAAAGTCGCTTTCTGCCAGTCCCGTTTCAGTTTTCACATTGAACATGAAAATGGCACCGGTTTCTGTAAAGACTTATTGATAATCGTCTAACCCTCTTTTTTAAGAATGCAAGAAAAAAAGTGTTTTCCTCCTCCAAAAAAAAAGAAAAAATTACTAGAGAGGATTACAGTACATAATATGCTGGTGCTGCGTTGCAGGGCACCATCCTGCTGTGTCCTCTCGGGGCAGCCCTTTAGTCAGTAAAACTGTGATAATGTAAAAGCTATCATCCCACCTGGGTCATCATCTGCAACTCGTCAACTTACATTTTCTGGATCAATGCTGCATTGGAATGTTTTCAGCAATGCGTGAGAGTGAGTCATGTTGTTTTTTTTCCGCACAACTTTGAAATGACTGAATGGTTTACCTCGGCAAAAAATGCACCGTTTGGGGCATGGCCATGCAGGAGGCAATACTTTGACACCAAGAGGTCCCATTCCCTTCCCTTGGCCGGCTCTTGTGGTACCCTTGTTTCTGTGGCCTGAAAGGATTATCCCTTCAGCGCCGTGCATACTTGGGCCTGCATTGAAACCAAAATAATTCCACATGCACCGACTTGCCATTAAAGGCCAAAGTACACTTCTTAACTCTTACTTTCTACTCACCTGACACAGCAGAATGTTGTTAACAGGATTGCCACTGTTCACTAGAAAAATTATTTGTAAATGCTCCATAGTAATGAATCATCGTCAAGATCTAATGAAATAACAAGCATGGCCACTAAAGACGCTGTCCTATATCGTGAAGTAGAAGTGGACGTGATTTGGCTATCATTTGCAAGGCCTAGCTTGATGACATTGTAAATAACTCCGTGTCCGGTCACATAATCTTTTTTTTTTTATGCCTTCGCATTAATCCTTTCGTACAAGTGTTGAACTTGGACTGGTTTTGAGCACACTTATATAATTGCTTGAAGCTTTGCTATGGGAATCACGAAAAAAAGAAAGTTGTACTAATGCACCAAGACGATTACCATTGTATATGTCCGAACCAGTTCTCACCTGTTTTCCAGCAAAAGAAACAAATAGCAAAGTTATGCATGAATGATATATTGTGAAGAAGCCTGTCGACAACCTGATGAACAGTGTATTGAATGCGAAGAACAGAGGAACTAACAAGTTTTCTGTTCACCGCATGGTTCACGAAAACTCAAAGCATTTGTGAACTGTGCATTGACATTGTGTAGGCTCATTCTTTATAAAATGAATAAAGTACTCAGAAAATATTTAAGTAGTCTAACGCAGGCCGAGCAGGAAATTTGCAGAAGAATCTGCTCCACAACAGTACTTATAACCGCATTTCTTGAATATTGGCCTGAGAAAATAAACAATTATGTTGTATATTGACATATGCTTACGACGTTATTAAAGGTTCCCTGAAAAGAAATGTTTGTTTAAACAGTCTGCTTTGGCATACGGGTGTCTAAAAATAAATTTTATGCAAAAAAAAGAATTATTTATTATACGCATATTAATGACGATAGATTTATCTGAAATTCTGCGCATGAAGTCTCTGACTTCACGGAATGGTCACTCATTCTTTCGACCTCAACAAGATGGTCATTTGCTCTTTCCACCTCAACGTGAAGGCAAAGTCGATGAACCTCTCCTCCACGCGACTGAAATGCCAAGAGAGAAATCAAATGGAGAGATGACTACCAACTAAATCGTGTTTTGCGTCACCAAAAATTGCTTTCAAAACATATATTTTTTTTTTGTGTGTGTAAAACTAATTTTTTGAGATGCATGTCTCCCAACCAGATTTTTAATTTTTTTTTTTTTTTAGGTTTCCTTTAAAGGGGTAGAAAAACAAAATTTCAGCGCTCATTTTCTAGCTTGAATGTGTCGCATGCTGCACCCTAACCTCAAAAACACCAGTCTTCCGTTGAAAGGCACAAGAAAACTAATTTTAAAGCTAAATAAACAATCTTTCAATGTGCACCTGGTGGATGCATGCGGAGCCTATTTGGGAGGTAGTCCAGCAACTTTGGGTAACTTATTACGTAGTCTTGACGGAGCAGATTCTTTCGAAGCAGCGCTGACCTTTGGAATTTCAACATTTTCCTTCTTAGCTTTCCTTCAAGCTCAACTCACAAATCGCGCATTGTACCAAACGGTCCAAGAAGACGGAACGACTCCCCTCTTTCTCAGACCCTTGTTCGTGCAACCGGAAATAGCCAATTTAGCCCGTCGCTCAAAACTCGAACAAAAGTTGCTTTTCCTACCCCGTTCAGCCCTAGGTTGACAGTGCTGTGGAAGCTACGTGCCCCTTGGGCCAGCCGCACGCTCGTCACTCCATGGGTACTTCGAACGGCTTGGTTGTAACGAACTGACGCTATTGACACCACCACAACGCTGACAACGCCACCAAGGGCAAAGCTCATAACCACGCCTGCCTTGCTACGTCACGAATATCTTTGCTTTCTGTTCTTGTTTCCGCCGGATATCCCGTGATGCATCGCGCTCTCCGTTCGCTTCTCTTCGAGCGCTTGCTCGAGTGCACCGTTTGGAACGACAAATATAGCCAGTTGTTCAAAATACAAGCGTGCGATTATCATTTAGTATGGTTATTATCCGTCATGATTGACTCATTCCCGAACGAAATTTGAATATTTAAATTTTTGTTTCCGTACCCCTTTAAGATACCAGAGAAGTGGCAGTGCCCCCAAATGAAACAAGGCGTGAAGTTGGGCTAGTTGGTTCATATTGCAAACTTGGAAACAGTGCAAAAAATACAAGGGACAAGAACGAAAAGTGAACAAACACAACGCAGTGTTCATTCACTTCTCGTTCTTGTCCCGCCTTTTTTGCGCTGTTTCCAAGTTTGCCCCCAAATGAAGCCCGACACTCGTTTTGCATAAAATTTCAGACACGACTAAACAGCTTCAAGAGAAGCTACCTTCGGCAACTTTGATCGAGCTCGAATGCCAGGTGACGCTTCATGAACCTGCCTAGACACATCTTTATTTGTCTCAAGAGATGCGCTTTGAAGAAATCAGCATGGTCACGAATTAAAAGGAAATGTCTATTCACTATTGTGAACGCTGCAATTTTTATGCAGATGCCTTCCTTTCAGCGTCACACTGCGTAACCGAGGCACTGTAGGAATCTCAGCCAATATGGAACGCAAGGGTCCTCAACCTTTTTTGTTAAAAATAAACAATTCAATTGAACTTATTTATCTTAAAGGACCTTTGCAATCATTTTTAAGCCTCTACTTTTTTTGTGGTTTCCACGTCTCTTGGGGTTGGGGCAAGCCAGCGGGCACGGAGAGAGTAACTAAATACCAGTGCGTCATATTTTAATGGGACGACGAAAAATCCTCCTCCACTTACGGGGGCGACCCGCGGTGCCAAAAGCGCGCACTATGGAAAGTCTTTGGTCCTGGGCTTACCACTGGTCAGAGCTGCTAAAAGCTTCTTTTTAGTCAAAATACAAAATATAAGTGGTGCGAACCGTTTCAATTATTTATAAATTTGTTTGTTTGTTTGTAAACGTCTTTATTGGGCCTTTTCGAGGCTGCTCTTGTCCTACGGCATCAGCAGCGGCGGGGGAGAGACACGGGGGATTTCTTTCCTTGGCGGGCCGTGTAGAAGCAGGGCTCCAGGCCCTCCGTCTGCGTGGACGAAGAGGCAGAGGTGCTTCCACAGGAGTTGAACAGTCCCGAGCGACGTGGGTAGAGTCCAGTCGATGTAGCTGGTGGGTCGGTGTTCTGCAGGTAACTCCGACAGAATGCGTTCCCGGGCTCTGGCATAGGTCGGGCACTCCCAGACCAGGCCACGTAAATGTACATGTTAATGCTTTTGTTACCCGTGCTCACGAAGAGTTACCTGACATAATCCATGGCAACTCTTCTACATCCGTTATCAATACAAAGCAGGATGGTTTCAGGAAGCATGCATAGTGGCCCCTTACTCTGATTATGCGTAATCGTAAATACAATACTCCAAAGAATTTTTTGTTCTCAATGTTTTGCCAATCTAGGAAAGTGTATGTTTTGAGAAATATTTCACGGGCACAACATTTTGCGAGTGGAAATGTTGTGTTGAGTCCAGGGTTGGGCATGCTATCGCGATGTATCGCGATAGTATTTCAGAAATTCATTTGGTATCTGCATTGCTGTATCGCGATACATTCTTTTAAGCAGTATTTGTATTCCTGTATAGAAATATATTTTGAACGTTCCTTTGTATTGCGATACAATCATAGTTAAATGTATTTCGTTACATTTCTTGAGAAATACTCCCCTTCTCCCCCCATCCCCTCCCCCTCCTCTCCTCTCCTCCTCCCTCCCTCCCTCCCTCCCCCCCCTCCCTCCCCCCCCCCCCAAAAAAAAAGATAAAAAAAACCAAACGCATCTTTTTTTTCTTTTTTTTACTTCTTAGGGCACCAGAGTCCAGGAGATGCTGAGGCACTGTATTATGCTGACCAAGGTTCCTTCCGATTCTCCATACTTTTCTATGCGTCCTCCTGGCACACCAGGTGGCGTGCCAGGAGTGGAGCCAGAGCATCTTGTGCCGGAGGTCCCTAGGGGTTTCTTGAGTCATTGTTCGCTGGCATCCAAAGCCTGCTTTTTACTGTCTCTCTTGAATTTACGGACACAGTACACCCCGCCGGCAAAGCTGATTCACAGTCCGCTGCAGCTCGAGCCTGGTGGTGGTTGACTTGAAATAGTAGGATGACTCACACAGTGAAGTTCAACACATATTCGAATGCGTTTGCGGCTGCGCTCATAATATTGCACGCTCAATGGTACGTCATCAGCCGGCGTGAACGTGACCCGCTGCTCTGGTGATCCGAAACCCAGGAAGAAGGCCAGATGTGGCCTCGCCATACCGACCCAGACTTCGTACACCTACGACTCGTCTCGAGCGCGCTGTTTATCGGAGAGCTCGCACCTGTACGGGGCAATATCAGGTAGCAATCCACGATGTCTCTGTTTGAATTAAGTAAGGCGAAACTTGAGGACTGCAGTCCATGCGTTGGTGGCTGAGGGTCGGCAGAAAGGAATTTCACAGCAGGGATGCCACCGTATCTTTTTTTTCAACCGTAACAGAATGTAAGACATGTGTTCCAGAATGCTTCAGGTTGTCCACTATTCTCGAAAATTACAAATGACACTGCCTGCACGATCTTCAACGAGGTAACCTACAACGAAAGTATGTATTCTCCTTTCATACATTAGCGTGGCAAAGTTTCATGTTCAAGGCCACACCTACAGATTGAGAATACCAGTTCTTTCCACCGTGACATCATGTGATCATTGTTGATAGGGACGTCCTTATTGGATAGGGGCATGGTGACGTTTTGATGGGATTTAGGATGCCATAGAATTTGTTTAGAGGTCGAAGTCTTTTCGGATCCCTCGTAAGAGAGACAGGATGTCAGGTAAGGGACCGCGGTCAGTCCTTGATGGAACGTTTTTTTGAGCCCATTGAAGACTCCTCGTCGTCCGAAATCGCTACCTTCAAGGCAAAGTGTTGTGGGGATTGTGATCCCTCAACATTCTGTCGCGTC